TCCTCTTTGGGGTAAGGTTGTTTTTTTTTTTTTTTAAGTACACAATTTAATAGCGGCTTTGTCTCAGAGTTAAGAGGGTTAGCAGTAATAATGATTCTCTTGATTATGAAAAGTATATAGAAAGCTTTCCTTTGTGTAAAAAGAACAAAGTTGTTCATAGTCCTCACTAAGCATCTGTCATTTAATTCAGTTTAGTCTTGTTTTACCAAACTCTGTTGCCAGACAGCTGCCTTTGGTGGGTGCAGGGAGTACATTAGTCAGGAAGTTTCTCTGTGCTCAGGAAACCTCATAATTTGCCACCTCAGATTGTTAGTAATGTGGACCAAGCAGACCATCTGACTGCACACAGAGTTGCCACTCAGGAGTATGTGGGCGTCTGGGTGGCACTAATAGTTAAGCTACTAAGCAAAAGAATGGCACTTGGAATCTACCCAGTGTTGCCTCTGAAGAAAGGCCTGGTGATCTACTTTAAAGATTAGTCATTGAAAACAGTATGGAACACAGTTCTACTCTGATACACATGGGGGTCACCATGAGTCAGAATCAACTCAATGATGTTTATTTTAATAAACAAATAATAATAAATAAAGAAGCCTAAGTGATAATATAAAACCTTCCTCCCACTCCAGTCTCAGGAACTACTCCACACTCTTCTTTCTGACCACCCTGTCTGGCTCCCTGGCCTCTCTTTTTGTCTGTGCCTGGTTTCTAATATGGGCTTTCTGGATGTGTGTTTTGGATCCAGTTTCCACATCCACATGAGGCTGTATTTTCAGTATTTGTCTGTGTTCCCTCCAATGGAGACACTTCATTCCCAGGACTGAGCTTGCCCCTTCTGAGCCTCCCTTAGGTGAAGATAGGCATGTATGGTAGTTAATGTTATGTGTCAGCTGAGGTGGGCCTGGTTTTGAGTGGCTGGGCAGCTGGATTGGATTCCCCATATTGAGTCTGGTAATCAGCTCCATGGTGGAATCTGCTGTGTACAGCTGAGTTGCTGCCTTAGGAATGTGGTCTGTTTCCAGTATATAAGAGGAAGCTTTGAGAAAGGTCTCTGAGCTTTTTGGCATGCTTGGGTCCTGAGTTTAGCTTACTCTCTATTCAGCAGTCTGCCATGTTGTCTACTGATCTTGGGATTATTCTTGGACTTAAAACAGTGGCCTGCCATGTTGTCTGTTAGTCTTTGCATTGTGTCATTTTGCTTGTTGACCTTGGGTTTATCAGCCTCAGCAACTAGCAGCTGCCTGAGTTAAGCCTCCAGCTTCAGTGGGCCTGGAGCAAGAGGCAGAGCTGAGGCCCAAGATTGAATGACCTTTGCCCAGCCCTTAGAGCTGGCACTTTGAACTTGGATTTTTAGCCACCTATATTGTAAGATAATAAATCCTTATTTATTGAAAGCCAGCCACTTGTGGTATTTTCTGTTATGGTGGCACTAGAGAACCACAACAGCATGTATTTCAAACTGAACTGGTCCTACCAGTAGGGAGGACACTGGCCTTAGGGAGACAGGCTTGGGGCAAAACCCAGCTCCCTGAAGTAGTGCAGTAATGGCTCCACAGTTCACTTGGGACCCTGGGCAGGAGCCTCTGTGCCGGCCAGGGTCAGGCAGAACGCTTAGCAGGGTGTGGGCTCCGGGCACCTGGGCTCCTAGGCAGGCTGCCAGAAGGGCTGTACAACATAGCGAGATCAAAGTACATATCAAACTCGGGCTAGCGACATACAGCTCATACCAAACTCTACCTCCAAAGCATGATGTCCATGGTATGGGTCCTATAGCACTTCTCTACTGACCTTCTGACCATCCTCAGGCATCTCCATTCCTCTCAACCCTTGTGCTGCATCCACAGCTGCCCCCATACTGCTTTTGTTTCAAGCAAACACTTGGAAACCTGTGCTTATTTGGCATATTCTGGCTTGGGCTTCATGACCTATTTCAGGTATCACCCTGTGGTAGTTAAATTTGTATGTTAATTTGGCTGGACCTGTATGTCAACTTGGCTGGGCAGCTGGTGGTAGTTATTCCCCATGATGAGACTGGCAATCAGCTCCATGGTGGGATCTACCACAGGCAGCTGAGTAGCTGCCTTTGGGATGTGGTCTGCTTCCTGTATATAAGGAGAAGCCTTGGGGATAGTCTCTAGTTCGTGGCATGCTTGGACCCTGCATGTAGCCATGTTGTTGTGCAGCAGCCTGTCATGTTCTGCCAACCATGGGACTTACAACGGACTTGAATTAATGGCCTGCCATGTGGTTTGGTAACATCGGAACTGTGCTTTTTCACTTGTCAACCTTGGGTTTGTCAGCGTCAGTAGCTAGCAGCTGCCCAAGTGAAGAGATGCCTCTAGCTTCAGTGGGCCAGGAGTAAAAGGCAAAGCTGAAGCCCAAGGTCAAGGGGCTTTCACACAGCCCCCTAGAGCCTAGCACTTTGAACTTGGACTTAAAGCCTCCAAACTATGAGAGAATAAAGTCCTGTTTGTTAAGGGCATCCCATTTATGGTATATTTTTGTCAGAGTGGCGCTAGGTAACCAGAACACACCCCTCTGTGTAGCTTTTATGTGCTGTGCCTGGCAGACTTTGGCCTCCCATCACAGAGCTCTGTGGGAGCCTATGGAGGCTTCAGTAGTTGCACCTGCCGTGTGGTTGGTAACTTGTTTCTTCTTCCAGCAGATAATAATGGAATAAACTGGGAATGTGTCAATTGTTAATTTTCTGTAAAAGAAGGGAGGCGTTGTCATTTGGTTACAGAACAGTCATGAGAACTTCCTGCCTTAGGAACTAGCTCATTGTAAGGCTGGTATGATCAGGAGTTGGTGGAATGAGGGAGTAAAGGGAGTTTGACATGGAGGGGTTAGGGTATGTTGGTGTTTCTTTTGGAGAATGCAGGCTGGTGCAGGTTGAGGTGTAGTGGGGCCAGACTCTTGAAAGCAGCAAGCTTTCTGTCAGATGATATTTTAAGAAAGAAGTCATCAATTAGGAAGTGACCTATTAGTTTTGAAGTCAATGAGTAGTAGCTAGGCTCTGATGATGTTATTTGATGAAATACGTATTTTTAAAAATATGGCTTTCCATAGGAGGTGATAGGAAGAAGAGGGCTTATAGACTGGTGCTCAGGCTGAGTGGAAATAACGTAAATATCTAGGGATTTGAAATACTGGTAGTCGGTAGAGCAGAGGTGGGAACATAGAATTTAACAACCTGGGGTCATTCCAAATTTGTATAAGTTTGAGCTACAATTTTAATCTAGGGAATGGGTTTTTTATGGTTTTTGCTTGAATGCCAAAGTAAGTATTTCTTGCTTGCTAAGATGATTAGCATGTTAAATGGAGGTTTTGGGAATGTTGAAGCAGAGTTACTCAGCACCTGGAACGCTGGAAGAAGATAGAAAATACAACCAGTAGTTCATCCTGAGCTGCTGTTTTACATGGATTCAGGCATTGAATCTCTGTTGTTGAGTCTGCACCTGCACCTGCATAAAGAAATCATTTGGGGAAGTCTGAATGCTTAAATGTTGGCATTTCAGTTTCTTTCTTTTCTCTCTTCCCTACCTCCCAACCCCCGATTTATTTATTTATTTATTACCCTGGGGTGACTTTGGGCCTTAAAAATTGCTGATGTCTTGAAGAAGAAAGTGCCTTTTAATGAGGGCTTTCTTCCTGACCTGTTTTAGTGGATCTGCTAATACCACTGGTGGGAACGAAACCGAATTGTTTACCAGATGAATGATTGAATGAACTTGCTGTTTTCTTCCTTTTGGCTCCTAATGTGTATGACAAATAAGGCAGTGGAGGAGTCTGCCTGTGTTCTCAAGCACCTGAATTATTATTCTAAGATGCACTCATTCTGAAGAATCATGAGGAAGGATAAAGTGAATGGCATTTTTAATGTGGGCATCATGGACTCTCTCCCTAGAAACAGTTGACTGACTTCCACGGATGCTTTTACTTCTGAATAAATACTACACACATGTTCCTGGCCTAAGCTTTATGATAATCTTTGTTGTAGTGTGAGCAGTTTTTAACCTCCCATTACAGCCACTATTTATCTCAAAATCATTGCTTTTTTAAAAGAATGTATTGTAACAGGCCATTTTAAAAAACAACCTTTAAGACGCCACTTGTTGAAAGCAACAAAAATAATTACTCTCAACCACTGTAGTGTCAGAATAATTTAAGAAAATAATCTTCTTCACTGAGGAGGATGTAATTTGGTTTACTTCATTCTAGCTGATTGAATGCCTTAGTTTTCTTAACAGTTAGAAAATAAAATGTGTTTAGGTTATATTTTAATAGCAAGTTATCCACACAAGTTAGATTGGTTCTCTTTCTCTTGGTTTAGGTGGAAAGGTCGCTGGAATAGCATCTTCAAACATAGTCTTCCTTGCATATCTCATTTATTTCTTCCCAGAGTACTGACAGTGAAGTGTGTTGTTGTTGTTGTTATGTGCCACCTTGGGTTTCCGAGGTGGCTGTATCACTACTGGGAAGTAGAATGCCCCATCTTCCTTCCGAGGAGTGGCTGGTGGGTTTGAACTGCCAGCCTTCTGATTAGCAGTCAAGTGCCTTAGACACTACGCTATCAGAGCTCCCGACAATGAAGTGTAGCACTTGACAAAGCCATTTCTCTTTGTGAGGGCACATAAGCCTCTATCTGAGTAAGATATTCAAGATTTTGCCTTGGTGTGTAATCTTGAGCATATAAATTCTCTTTATCTAAATCTCTTCAACTGAATATGGCTAATTTGATGTGATTTTTTCCCTCCTTCTTCCTCAAGGGACCCTGAAATAAATAATTTTAACTTTATCAAGTTCTTTAAATTATCAGAAAAGTGATCAACTCACTGAAGGGCTGTTTTCCTTTAGCTTAGTTGTTTGTAGTTTAATATCACCTTTGGAAAAAGGTATGTGCTTTGTCATTTGTTTACTTGTTCAGTGGGTTTATGGGCCCTGTCTTTGTTCCCTTAAAAGTAAATGCCATTGTTTTAAAATTTCTTTTTCTTTTAAAGACTGTGTGTATATCGAGAGTCGGAGACCAAACACACCGTATTTCATCTGTAGCATTCAAGACTTCAAACTGGTAAGCATTTTTAAATGTGCTGTTGGTTCTGCTCTGCACCTTCTCTTTTTCCAGTTCTTTGGCTGTCTATCTATTGTTTCTCCATCACTGTTGCTTTGATAGCCAGTCAAGTTCTGGGTGTCCTGTGGACTGCTTCGTGGCTTTCGCATTCAAATGAGGCTGTCACTAGTTTCGCTCTTTCAGCTAACACTTACTGTTATAATCTTTACATAGTAAGCAGTCTTTCTGGAGTTTGTATTCCTTTAATAGCTCTTCTGACAACTAATTTCAGAAATTTCTTTTGAATTTCTGAAGTAGTTCATTTCTTCTCAACTGCTATTAAGTGTCTAAAATAAGGTAAATTTAGGAATTGATGATGAGTAGGAAAAAAATATCAAATAAGTCAAAGGTTGGTTCTCACACGAGAACTGTAATTTACTTGGAAATTTGGCAGGAATTGAGTGCATTTTGAACCTTTTGGTGGCTTCCAAGGGTGGAGGTTAGGGGAAGGAAGTTGGGGTTGGGGGTTATAGTTCCTATACTTTCTCATTAAATATTTTTCCTGGTTACGTGAATGTTGATATCACCTGTATTGAAATCTCTTGCCTTTGGACTAGTGGTTTCCATACTTTAGGCTTTGGATTCCTGGATATCTATAAAGATTTTACAAATAAGCATTCTTAAATGAATATACTTTGTTCTTGTCTGTATAGCTGCTTTTCAAATGTATGTCTGTGCTGGTGTGATTTTTAAATTCCATCGATTTTTAAAAATAATAAGTACTTAATAACCACTGTTTATTATACGATCTTTATGTATTTTCCTAAGACAGTTGATTCTTGAAATAGTGTCATAATACTATCACATGGGGATTTTTGAAACATTTTGATGTTAAAAAGCAATCTTTGTACTTAAGACTGTGAATCACAGTTCTGCAGTGTTAGGTGTAGAGAAATTCTAATTCTTTTGCTTTCATTAGAAGTTATATGTATCTGTCCCCGTATTTCTGAAAACCTTTGTAACTTTTGACTATACAGGTATGTGTCGCTAATGTCCATGATATATTCCATGAAATAGCATGTTACGTGATTTGGATGTTGTGCAAACACCATTTTGAAACCTTACAGGAGCCCGCTTCTTGCCATCCTTGGCGTCGCTATTGCCCCTGCTAGAGCTGCTGGCATTTCTAGTGCAGGTTGGGGGAATGGGCGGTGGGTGTAGCAGTGACAGGAGCCGAGTGAGAGGAAGCTAATGATGAGGGAGCAGAGCATGCCCAGCCCTGCCCCCTATTCTGCCTGCCTGAGCAGTAGTAGCAGCTTGGGGTCTGCAGCGGCCTGCAGCTGCCTGCCTGCTGGATAAAACCCAAAAGCCCACACTCAGTGCTGTGCCTTCTGCCTCACTTGCTTGTATCCCATCCATGGTCCAAAGCTGCAAGAGTCTGGGTTTGACGTCTTTAAAACCATTATTGTTGTTAGGTGCCATTGAGTTAATTCCAACTCATAGTGACTGACCCCGTGTACAACAGAACAAAATACAACCCAGTCCTATGTCATCCTCACAGTGGTTGCTGTGTTTGAGCCCATTGTTGAAGCCACTGTGCCAGTCTATCTTGTTGAGGATCTTCCTCTGTTTGGCTGACCCTCTACTTTACCAAGTGTGATGTCCTTCTCCAGGAACTGATCCCTCCTAATAACATGTCTGAAGTACATGAGACAAAGTCTCGCCATCCTCCCTTCTAAGGACCATTCTGGCTGTACTTCTTCTAAGTCAGATTTGTTTGTTCTTCTGGCAGTCCATGATGTAGTCAATATTCTTCACAAACACCATAATTTGAAGGGATCAGTTCTTCTATCTTCTTTATTTGTTGTCCAGCTTTCACATGCACATGAAGTGATTGAAAATACCATGGCTTGGGTAAGGTGTACCTTAGTCCTCAAACTGATATCTTGGCTTTTAACACTTTAAAGAGGTCTTATGTAGCAGATTTTCCCAATGCAGTATGTCATTTGATTTCTTGACTGCTGTTTCCATGGGCATTGATTATGGAACCAAATAAAATGAAATCCTTGACAGTTTTGATAGCTTCTCCATTCATCATGATGTTGCTTATTGATCCACTTAAAAAACAAACACACTGTCAACAAGTCGATTCTGACTTACAGTGACCCTATAGGTGAGAGTAGAACTGCCTCGTAGGGTTTTCAAGGCTGTAAATTTTCACAGAAGCAGGCTGTCTCATCTTTCTCCTGTGGAGTGTCTGGTGGCTTCAAAACATGAACCTTTTGGATAGCAATGCAGTGATTTAACCATTGTCCAGCCACCAGAGCTCCTCTTATTGATCCAGTTGTGAGGATTTTTGTTTTATGTTGAAGTATAAGCCATACTGAAGGCTCATCACTAAGTGCTGCCAAGTCCTCTTTTAGCAAGCAAGGTTGTGTTATCTGCATATTGCAGGTTGTTGAAACCATTAGGGGAAAATAATAAAAGAAGAGCTGATTTTCCTTTAAAACAAACAAACAGACTTTATGGGACCATGGACATATATGCAGTCAGACGTTGCTCAAATGGATGTTAAGTGACACATACTTGTATTTATGTTCTGACGCACATTGCGTATGATAGTTCAGTCTGAAGAGAAGTAAATGTAGTCTGAAAAGATCTTTAACTCTGCATCTCTTTCATTTCTTTTTTTTAAAATCATTTTTAATGACTCCCAAACATCCAATTAGTATAATCTGATTTAGCTAGTTAAAAAATTGCATGCCGTTTTTCTTAACAGAAGATAATTAAATAAGTAGTCCACACTTACTGTTTTAAAAGAAAGTCAAATGTGGCTTTCACTTTTTGGATTGATTTATTCTTGATCAGCTGCTTCTAACTTCTCTGATTGTTTTACAAGATGGCCTTGTAGTTGAATCTTGTCACATCAAACATTTTCTATTCAGTTTTTTTGTCAGTATGAATTTTCTGTTTTCAGAGATCTTTGCTGTATTTATTATATCTTTTCTTCTGAAGATGTTTTACAGATGCTGTTCTGACATCCGAAAATTTAGGTGGTGGTCTTGTTTCCTGAAGAGTTTTAGTAGTGGCTGCTGCCTCTACTCTGTCCCTGGTCATTGTCTTTGTGTATGATTTTTACTAAATCTGATACCAGTGCACTATGGACAGTATATAGATATGAAGTAAAATTGCAAAGATTTTTCTTTTACCTATTTGATTTTGAACCCCTTTTGTACTGTTTTTTTTTTTTTTGGCACATTAGCAGGTACTTCATGTTTGAACAGCATCTCTTATGAAATGCTGATTACAGTGTGATAGTTGCTGTTCTGGGCAGAGGTTCCTGCTGAGTTACAGTAATTGCTCAGGGGATTAATAGCAATAAAAGCTGAGGCTTTTGTTGTCAGTATTGGTTGAATGCAGCACATTAAAGCTGTCTGCAAAAACAACGTGAGATGTAGGGTCAATATGTTTGGATAGACCTTATTCTAAATCACACAGTGGTATTTCTTAACGTTTTCGTTTGAAGTTCTGTATTCAGCACATACTCATAGTTGTGTAAAAACTGAGATGATGAAATATTTGCTGCTGAAAGGAATTTAGTTATTCTTTGATACTCACTTTCCTTTTTCTTTGTTTCTCTATACTACATATGAAATGATAACCAAGTAGATTAGAATAGTAATAGATTTTTTCCTCCAGTTTACTCATGCTGTCAGGGGAAAGGATGGGCAGAAGGAAATAGGCTTTGTTTCTCTGTAAGATTAAAAAATAAAATAAATAAAATAAAAGAAAGAGTTTGTTTTGCCCACAGCAAATAACATGGCAAGTGGAGTAATGAAAAACAAAAAGCCAATAGCTTTGAAATGTCATTGATTAATTATCTTTTTAGCTGTCTTAAAATAATAATAAAAAAAATTGGTTTCTTTGTTTACACCACAAATTAGAATTAACCGATTTTCCACAGTAGATTTTTTTTTTTTTGGCATAAGATATTTCAGGTTTTAAAGTACATACTAAGCAAGATTGCAACGTCAAACATAGCATAAGCTAATGAATTGAGAAATGGGAAATAATTAGTCATCTAACCAGTTACTGAGAGGAGCATAATGGCACTTTATTGAACTGAGGACCCTGGGTCATACTTAATGAACTAATTCTGTGTGAGAGCAAGAGAAGAGTATTTAGATTTTATGTGGGACCTGGGTTGTCTTCTAGGCTCTGCTACTGTATCCCCTTAGATTCTGAATCCGTGGTCGTAAAACATGGCTGCCTCACATCCTGGTTTATGTCTGTTGTCCTGCCAAACTGTTAAATAATGCCCCATTTTACTCTAAAAAGTATCCTCTTTTGGAAGATGGATTATATGGTCATCTGGCCTATAGGAATGAGATCTGTGGTTTCTGCTTTATTAACATTTAACCATTAAAACACCTAAAGCTACTACCATTCTACACAGGTAGGTATATTTGGAACACACACTTTTCACTGGTGTAGGTAGAGGGTATGGGAGTGCAAAGTAGTAAGTTCCTATCCAAGCTGAGTTTTTTTTTTTTTTTTTAAACTAGAATTTCCAAAGTAAGTGAATTACATGTTCTGTTAGCTCTCATTCTTTTAGGAACTTTTCACTTGGTTTTACTTATTTACACACTGGGAGATCTGGATTTGTTTCACTACAATGACAAAAGTAACTATGAAACTAGGAGTCAAAAGTAGGGACTTAAGAAAGCGGAGAGGTAGAGTGCAGTTATGGACAGTGTATGCATAGAAGGGGGCTCATCAGGTACATAAGGCAGCTTTGCAACTTAAGTTTCTAAACTGAAAATAAAGTAGCTTGCAAAATCTTTAGCTCTTTGAAAGAATAGTAAGATAGAATGGCAATGCTGTTTTTGGTCAAATTTCTTTCTTAGAATTTGGAATTGGGAAAGTAAGAAACTGAGGCACTTAAAAGAGGGAGCAAAGCTGAAAGGATTAGTCAAGAATGTACCCCACCGACCTTGGTGTCTGGATGAACCCCTGAAACT